AAAAAAAAAAAAAAAAAAAAAAAAAAAAAAAAGCGGTTTAGTCTATCATATATGGTCTACTGTGTCATCTGTAGAGGATGACATTGTGTTGTAATCGTCCTTCAGAAGATCCGTTAAAATTGGAACGATACAGAGAAAGAGAAGATTAGCATGGGCCCTGCCGTTTTAAGGATGACACGCAGAAATTGAGATATGGTCCAAATGAAGGGGAATAGAAAAACGTTGTTGTAATCCTCGAAACGGATAATCTTCAGATAACGTCCAAGAATAGCACGGACAAGTAGAAGCAGAAGCTAGGGGCTTTATGCACACAACTCTACAACTGGAACCAGAGGAAAGAACACCAGGAAACATTAGAGACTCGTGCCCCTCTAGGTCAGGATGGCCCATCTCTCTCTCTCTCTCTCTCTCTCTCTCTCTCTCTCTCTCTCTCTCTGATGATGATTGCTGAATCCACTCTATGGTCATTTCAACGAGTTTACACTTAGGAGTACAGCAGACTCACTCCATCACTTGATACGGGGGCCTGGCCTGAATCAATCAATTAATTAATCAATCAATCAATCAATCAATCTTTCATTAATTCAATCACTCAGTCAACCAATCAATCAATCACTGTCGCTCAAGAAATCAATCCATCAATTGTCCATCAATCAATCGTTCCTTCCTTCCTTCCTTCCTTCCTTCCTTCCTTCCTTCCTTCAAGGAAGCCATCGATCAATCAATCTGCAACCAATCAACCAATCCTTCTTTCAATCAATCAATCAATCAATCCACCAATTATGTCCATCAATCAGTCGTTCCTTCCTTCCTTCCTTCCTTCAAGGAAGTCAGCAATCGATCAATCTGCAATCAATCTGCAATCAATCTGCAATCAATCAATCTGCAATCAATCAACCAATCCTTCTTCCAATCTATCAATTCAATCAGTCAAATCTCCCATCAATCAACCTTCAATCAGTCAATCAATTCAATCCATCAGCCAATCCATCAATCAATCCATCAATCAATAACTCGAGACCAGCCCAATCTCCACCGGGCTTAGCTCCGTTGGTACACCGACCAACTCTGGAAATACTTCAAAATTCAAATACAGACCAAAGTTCGAATCCCCATGGAAAATTCTTAACTACTTGGGGACCGTGACCCTCTTGTGAAACAAAAAAAAAAAGGAAAACGGAAGGTAGGGTGAATAAAGTTTTTATCCGAGAGTAAAAATAGTAAAATACTGAGATAAAATTTTGCAACGGAATTTCAACAGAGGTAAAGACCAGAAGGGCATACTCACGGTCTGCGTTCACTGGATGTATCTTAACCAAATTGCGACTAAGTTCAGTCGAGCAAGTTCTCATGTGAATTTTCCCTCAGACTTCCAACGACAAGGAAGACTAGAAAAGAGAGAGTCTTATAAATCTGCGTTAAAAAAGAAACGAAAAAGAAACGAAGGGAAGGGAAGGAGAAGAGAAAGCAATGGCAGGCTGAAAGATTAACTTCACAAGGTTTTTGGCCATTAAGAAGTTCTTAAAAAAGAAGTGCTAAAAGATACACTAACTATTTCACAAGAAAGAAGTGCTAAAAGATGCACTACTACTTCACAAGGTTTTTGGATATTAAGAAGTCTCTCAATCATAAATAAAATACATATACAAAAACAAATAGAAATTAATGATTAACCCCAAAAACGCAAAACAGAAGTCCTAATCGGCTACATTTCCGTTTCCTCCTGGTCATTAAATCAACCCGCACCGCCCGATCAGGAAATCTCTCTCTCTCTCTCTCTCTCTCTCTCTCTCTCTCTCTCTCTCTCTCTCTCTCTCTCTCTCTCTCTCACAATAGAGACATAAACCGGTATCAATCTGCCTGTCTGCTCTCTCTCTCTCTCTCTCTCTCTCTCTCTCTCTCTCTCTCAATAGAGACATAAACTGGTATCAATCTTCCTGTTTGCACTGCTCTCTCTCTCTCTCTCTCTCTCTCTCTCTCTCTCTCTCTCTCTCTCTCTCTCTCTCTGACACACAATAGAGACATAAACCGGTATCAATCTGCCTGTCTGCTCTCTCTCTCTCTCTCTCTCTCTCTCTCTCTCTCTCTCTCTCTCTCTCTCTCTCTCTCTCTCAATAGAGACAAACTGGTATCAATCTTCCTGTTTGCACTGCTCTCTCTCTCTCTCTCTCTCTCTCTCTCTCTCTCTCTCTCTCTCTCTCTCTCTGTGTGTGTGTGTGTGTGTGTGTGTCTATGGCTACGCATGGACGCCTGTTTTCTCGCCTCGTGTCAACTGGATAAGGCTCTCATTTTCTGTTTGATATCCTCATGACCATCATCATCGTCGTCGTTGTCATCCTCGATCCCCACCCATCCAACGAATCCGAAGAGGAACTCTTTGAAGCTTACTTCCCCACTACTATCAATGTCCATCTCCAAGAAGCGATTGTGCGCATTCAATCCTCTGCCTCCATCCCGGCTTCCCGCCTTCCGCGAGGGATCCATCGCCATCTCTAATTCTCGTTTCGTAACATATCCATCCCTATCTTTATCTATAAATAGAAACGCATCCGCTACCGATTCCAGAGCACTCTCAAGCTCCGGCAATCCAAAACCACAGAACCCATCCCCTCCTCCTCCTCCTCCATCCAACGATTCACCACATTCTCCCAATCCTCCTCCTCCTCCTCCTCCTCCTCCTCCTCCTCCTCCTCTTTCTGCCACTCCTCCTACTGCTCCCAAACCTCCTCCTCCTCCTCCTCTTCCTCCTCCACACCCACCACTCAATCCTACTGCCGAACGTTCTCCCAAGCCTCTTCCAGCCCTTTCAACCCCACCTACTTCCCCCGCCCCCCCCCCTCCCCCCCCTGCTCCCGATCCCCTTCTTACTCCCGTTTGCTCTCCTCCTCCTCCTCCTCCATTTGCTTCCATTTGCTCTCTCCCTCCTCCTCCTCGTCCTCTTGCTCCTACTCCATCCCTCTCCGATGATTTTCCTTTCCCTTCCGCTTCTTCTCTGAATCCTGCCATCCTTTCTTTCCCTCCCCCCAAGGCTTTTCCTTCCCGCGGCCACGTGTTATCCTTATCCTTATCCTTATCCTTATCCTTATCAAAATTCCTTTTCCACTTCGGATTTAGCAAAAAGAGTAAAGCCAAAGTGACCAAGAACTCTTTAAAAGATATGCCAGGACTGTAATCGAGATTAGACAAGTCGAAATAGCCTTGCAATTCTGAGTCAGAGACATGAATCTTCAGTGCGTTGAAGCAATTCCCCAGCTCCTTCAGGTCCAGCTCCCCATCACCGTTTGTGTCGAAGCGGCGAAAGGTCGTCCGCACAGTCTGAAACGCCTTGTCGATCTTGGGAGCGCGGAGCAAAATGCTCTTGAAAGGGCGGGGAACGAAACCAGGGTGGCCAGCTCGGTCGCGAAGAGCCTGCAAAAGCTTGCGCTCCATCGCATTATGCACCCGTAATCCCTCCTCCCCACTAAGGTCAACACTTGTGCATCCCCCCATCTCTCTCTCTCTCTCTCTTTCTCTCTCTCTCTCTCTCTCTCTCTCTCTCTCTCTCTCTCTCTCTCTCTCTCTCTCTCTCTCTCTCNCTGATTTTTTCAGTAAGACGTATAGAGGATGAGTTTCAATTACCAGGCGGAGAATTTGGGCTGGGTTCATTCCAGGATGGCCCGTCCTCTCTCTCTCTCTCTCTCTCTCTCTCTCTCTCTCTCTCTCTCTCTCTCTCTCTCTCTCTCTCTCTCTCTCTCTCACGCGTGAATTAGCACCAACATGAGCATCTTCATCTCTCTAATTCACCAACCAAGTTACCATCTCTCCCCATCCATTCTCTCTCTCTCTCTCTCTCTCTCTCTCTCTCTCACACACACACACACACACACACACACACACACACACACACACACACACACACACACAATTCACCAAGCAAGTCGCCTTGTCGAGTAAGAACCAGGAGTAATGACACGTTTCAGGAGCAATGAAGATACAAGGCCTGTGGTTTCTAGCCTGAGGAAGAAGCAAGGAAGCGAAGCAGACGCCTCGCCGCCTCAGAAGTTGGAATCGCTTCGTCCAGTCCTACGATGATCTAGGCAGTTTCCATGATACTTCCAGCAGTAAGCGGACACGTGGCGTCGTGACGAGCCCAGCGCCCAAGGCATATTCGCTTGCAAATTATGTAAATCTTCTCTCTCTGTATGGTTCCAATTTTAACGGATGTCCCTAAGGGACAGCTTGTAAGTGATTATGCAGCCATAGGTCGGGAGATCTAACAGTCCGAGCATGCGGAGATTCCCAAAAAATAAATAAATACATAAATAAATAATAAAATGCGGAGGTAGGAAGCATAAGGACAAGGATGCACGCAAAGTCCGGAACTTGGCCAAACAGGAGGAAGTTTGTATAAACATGGGCCTCGACGCGCCACTCAGTGTGAAAACGACAAAAGCTATGGCGGATGTTTGTTTCCACGTTCTAGCGGAACATGCATCTCCATTTTGCACATTTGGTCAGTGTGGTGCGGCGAGGCCCCATACTGCCGTACTACCCGTAGCCTTCCAATCCATGCATACCGGGGCGCCCCTACATAGCTGCGTACCGGGGCGTACCGGGGCGAGGCGTCCCCTTGCACGGCAATCAATGACAGCCGATGGGGCGGGTAGCCACACAACACGAAACGGGTGGAAAAAAGAAAAACGAGTGCACCTTCCCACAGAAAGCAGAAAGATTCGTCCGTTACTATGAATAGCAACGAATGTATCTTTCCCTTTTTTTTTTTTTTTTTAATCTTGCCACCTCCTGAGGGGAGATGTCTCTCGTTTTTTTTTTTTTTTTTTGACTTGAGATGTCTCTCGTTTTCTTTCCGTTTCATGTGGTGCGTGGTGAAGCCCGATATAGGGCGTCGCCACACCACTCTCGAAATGTGCAAAATGAGAATGAACTTCCCGCTAGAACATAGCCAGATGCGGCCGCCAAATTTTTGTCTTTTTCACAATTCGAGAGTGGTGTGGCGAGGCGCTTACTGCTAGAGAACCAGGGGCTAGGTCCCACTTGCACGAATTAAGAGATACTGACCGTAGATAGCAAAGATCAACGGCCGAAATCTGCTAATTTGCACAAGTGGGACCTTGCCCCAGGAACATCACTTGCTACACCTGGGACCGAATTGGGACCATACAGAGAATTGCTTGCAGCTCCTTCAAACAAACAAACAAACAAAAAAAAAAAAAAACAAAAAAAAAAAGAAGAAGAAGAAGAAGAAGAAGAAGAAGTAAAGAATTGCTTGCAGGGGTCCCCTGTGGGGTGAGGTTCACACTACCGTACCAACGAGGATTGGATTGAACGCCTGAATCTGGACGTGCTTGTGCAAAATTGCAGAAAGTAGCGACTGATCTGCATTTCTGCATCTCTACTCAAAAGCCGTCCACAGTCAGGCGCTTAATCCAATCCTCTGTGCTACTGGGACCTCGGTAGTAAAAAAAAAGGTGACTTGGAGACCAGAAAAACAGAAAAAGAAAAAAGAAACTTCTTAATTAGCTTGGTCATCATGACCTGTCATAAAATCTGCTCCTCTTCACCCACCCACCCCCTCCCCCCCTCTCCTTCCTCCTCGACTGTCAACACTCACCTTCCTACTCCTATCCCTGTCTCCTTTTTTTTTTCTTTTTTTGTCATATGCATCCCTGTCTCCTTCACTTCGTGTCTCTCCTCGATTCTCCTTGATTCGCCCAAGTGGGGTCTCTCTCTCTCTCTCTCTCTCTCTCTCTCTCTCTCTCTCTCTCTCTCCATCCAAGGGGACTCCCCCCCCTCCCCCCTCTTCTCCCAGAGAGAGAAGTACCGTCGATCTCTATTATCTACGGACAATGGTGTTCGCCGTACTACACTCGCCACGCGCCGACATTTCGAACGTATCGGGACTACCCCAAGGGTCCGATACTTCCAGAATTTGGCTTTCGGCGACTGGTGCGGCGAAGGCCGAATATCTCATATAATCGTTGCCAGTGGGGTCTGGCTTCTGGTGCAGTCATTCCGCCGGCTTCATGTTTCTCTTCGCTTTTCCCCTCCTCGGTTGTTCTCCATCTTCTTCTTTCGCCCCCAACCCCGATGCCCTCCCCTCCCCTCCCCTACCTCCCCTCCCCTCCCCTCCCCTTCATCCGCTTCCGCCTCTTCTAATGACCGAAGGCATTCAGGTCTCCCCCGGGGCAAGGTCCCACTTGCACGTATTAAGAGATGCTGGCCGTTGATCTTTGCTATCTACGGTCAATATCGCTTAATTCGTGTAAGTGGGACCTAGCCCCGAACACAACGCACCCTCATTTTGGCTGCCCGGACCGGAAAGATGGCTTGCACAAATTCATCAATGTCGGGATGCACTGTGTTTCGGGGGAAGGTGGTAGTGTGGTGCGGGGGGCGGGCGGGGGCGGGGGCCGGGGCGGGGGCGGGGGGGGCAGTGGGGCGCGGCGGTCGGGAGAGGGACGCTCCCGCCATTTGTTACCCCACCATTCTACAGGAGAGGATCCCTCCCTGCCTGGGACACGTAGCCTTGCGCATGCATGTGATCCACATACAGTCCCGATACGTGTAGAATGTTGGATAGTGGAGCGAGTGCCCACTTTTTCTTCCGTCTTCCGTTTTTCTAATCATCCACTTTCCCGCCACTTATCATCTGCTCACTTATCGCCTACCGTCTTCTTTCCCACCTCCAGCGGTCTTAAATTCGTGCCTGAGATGCACGAACGTAGTCCGTATAATGACCAGGTCCGTTTAGTCTTTGCCTGCTTACGCTCCACATGTCTGATCTGCACCTCTTGTCCATCATCCGCACCGCAATGATCCACTCGTCCCGACGGAAGCGGACTTTGGCGGGCTCTCCGCTCTTCCCTCGCGGCAGCCCGCCGCGCGCGCACATCTCTGTCACGACGAGCTGCGGAAAGCGGGGGGCGCCGCCGCGCCGCGTTTCCTTGTTATCTCTTTTCTTTATTTTCCCAACGGTGGGAGCTTTTTTTTTTTTTTTTTTTTTGCGGGAGCCAATTCAATTACCTGTCGAATTATCCAGCGGAAAAAAAAAACAAAGAATTATCCAGCGGCCTACCATATTCCCCCGAACATAACGCACCCTAAAAATGAATGCACACAAGTTATATTTCGGCCAGATACAGCCAAAATAAGGGTGCGTTGTGTTCGGGGGAAGACGGTAGCTCAGCTGGTAAGGCACGCAAGTGGTAATCGGGAGGTCTTCGGTTCAATCCCCACTCGCCTCAAATTCTAGGCAGCGAGCGAGCGCTAAGCATTCCTGGGCATGCTTGGCGCTCGCTGCCTAGAGATAGCCCGTTGGTCCCCCCAATAGGAGGAGGGGTAATCGGGGAGGCACAGCGACTGGTCACTCACTCAGATGATGCTCGGTCCCTCTGCTACCGGCTGTCCCCTGCCCGGTGTCCTCCATTGGGGGTTCCTTGCAGGCAACAAGGCCACCCTGGGCTGAAAAGGCCACCAGATTAGACACAAGATTGGTTAGGGGCTGATCCGACTTCTCTTCTTTTCGGGGAGAACCAAAAAGAACCACTTTGGGCGGGCCCGCCCCTTGAGGAACGGAAAAGTGATTTCGGATCCCACTTGGCCGGCAATAGCGGGACTTTTACGATTTTGGCGGCGGCCCAAGGGGAAAGGAACGTGCTGTCAAACAGAGGAGAGGACCATGTAGCCCACCGGATTTTGAAAAAAAAAAAAATGCCAGCCTTCTTTTTAGGAGCAGGGACGGCCATCCTCCTCTTTTGTTTTCTGGTAGAACTACTGCAGCGTGAGTCGCGGACAAACTGCCACATAGATATTTGTTTCCACTCCCCTCCGAGACCTACGGGAAGACCTGAGAAAGTGGGAAGGAGTGGGATCCAGAAAATGCCACTTCTCCCCAAAAAGAAGACAGGTCGGATCAGCCCCTTAGTCGGATGACGGATGATAATACCTCAAGGCCATCGTGCTTTAAAAAAAAAAAAAAAAAAAAAAAAAACCTGTCGAATCTGGAGAGGACGGTCTTTCAGGCCTTTTTTTTTTTTTTTTGGTTTTCGTTTTTAATTGTAATTTTAGTGTGACAGGGAACCACGTAGCAGCCACATCCGTGCTCAAGCCTCCAACGAGCAAACATGCAGGAGCTGCACCCACCAGCAAGTGCGATGCCTGCTACAGCAGGTGGGCGATACCGGCCAAGGGTCAGCCGGTAGCATCAGGACCGAGCTTCTTCGATAGGCCAGTCGCTGTGCCTCCCCTCCGGTCCCCTCCCCCTATGAACATCAGCAGTCTCTGCTCAATGGTGAGCGCCAAGCTTGTCCACGAAAGGCAAATGGGGATTGAACCCAAGACCTCCTGAATGCCACTTGCGTGCCTTACCAGCAGAGCCAAGCTGCTGGATCCTCCTACACCCTAATGATGTCATCAAACCCTTGGAAAAGAACGAGATCTCCTCTAGTTCCCTCCCCCTATGAACATCAGCAGTCTCTGCTCAATGCCATGCGGGAGGCCCTATGGCCTATCTCTAGGTGGCGAGCGCCAAGCTTGTCCAGGAAGGTACTTGAGGCAAACGGGGATTGAACCCAAGACCTCCCCAATGCCACTTG